TCAATTGTCTGCTTGTGTCTGCCTGTCTGTCTTTGTCTCTGTCTGTCTGTCACAGATAAACAGACAGACAGACAGAAGGAAACGGACACAGAGACACAGACAGAGACTGAGACACAGGCAGAGACACAGACAGACATGACAGAGACCAACAGACAGACAGAGAGATTCCTACAAGTTGTTATTATTTCTTCTTTTACCAAAGTGTTCCTGTTGCTTAACAACTCAATCAGATACGTTATGGTTACGTGGTGAGTCAAGGGACAGTTGTCTGTTTCAGTTTGGGTGACAGCGGTCGAGCCTGAGAAGAGCGCCGGACCTTCTTATTTACGGCGATTCCTTCTTTATCTTGAGTTATTAGCCAAGATTGTCTGTCTCTCCCTGTCTGCCTCTGACTGTCTGTCTGTCTCCGCTCGTCTGTTTGTCTGTCTGTATGTCTTTTTCTGTCTGTGTCTTTCGGTGTGTTTGTCCGTTTGTCTGACGGTTTCTGTCTGTTTCTGTGTGTCTGTCTGTTTAATGTCTGTCTGTCTGTGTCCGTCCGTCTGTCTGTTTTTCTAACTGTCTCTGTTTGTCTGTCTGTCTACAAATCCTCCCTAAGGAATCCTATCCTATAAATCAACATACCCGACCACCGCCCCCCCCCACCCCCCAACAAAAAATAAATAAATAATTAACAAAATAAAAATAAATAAATAAATTAATAAATAAAAAAATAAAAAATAAAATAAAATAATAAATAAATACAATAAAATAAAATACCAACCAACCTCCAAACACAGCAACACCCCCCCCCAGACAAAGCCGCACAGAAATACTTACAATTCTCCATACCCAACCTCAGCGACAACCCTCTCAATAAAAACAACCTAACTCAACAACTCCCTTCAACAAAAAACAGACAGACAGACAGACAGAGACAGAACAGACAGCCAGAGACCGACATAGTGGAAAGACAGAGAGGCTGAGACAGACAGATAGACAGAACGAGACAAACACAGACACAGACAGACAGTGACAGACATTGTAAAAATAGACTGGCAGACAGAGACAGACTGACGGACAGACAAACAGAGATACAAAGACAGACAGAGACTGAGAGACAGACGGACAGAGACAGTTAGACAAACTAACTCTACCAAAGCACCAATCACCTACTGCGGCACCAAGAGACGCCAACCCCAGTAAATAGAAACCCTCCTCCTGGTGTACATTAACACAGTATAACCTTTTTCTTCTATATTTTAAATTTATTTCTGTTCCTTTTTCGCCCCCCCCCCTCCCCCCCCCAGGCCCCGTTGTGGGTCGTTTGATCTGTGCCCGGGTGGGTTAATTCCCATTAAAAAAAAAAGCAACTGGCTGGGCCCAGCCTCGAACTGGTCCCGGCGGTGCTAGACGTAGTTCGTCAGGCCACCGCCAGGGGTCTACTGTCGGCTCTTGTGAAGGTGGTTTTGTTGTTTTTCTTTAATAATTCATATATTTTCGTAGTTTTTCTCAGGATTTGTATGAATTTATACTTAAATAGTAGAGTTACAATTGTATTGACGCTGTGTGTGGCCCTTTTACAGCCAATCTTGGCTACTAACTCAAGATACACTTGTGTGTGCGTGTTTGACTGTCGTGTGTGTGAGTGTCGTGAATCATGAAGAAATTTTGCAAGAACCTATACCAAAACACATACAAAAGAATACCAAACAGTTATAAACAACAGCGCCACGGTAACTCTGCGAAAATAAATAAATTATTGAAGAAAAACTGCAAAAATACCACATGTAACATAAATACAACTTCTGGAATGTTGATTAATGTCCCCCTGGCGGTGGCCTGGCGAACTAGGTACGACCGTCCAGCTCCGGCGGGACGAGATCGAGGCTGGACCCAGCCAGTTGCTCACTTGAACTTATCACTCGAGTGGGTGACAACACGAGTATGACAGTATTCCCCGCACTACCCTTTATGGGTAGTGATGTAGGCGACCTGTCATCTCGACACTGACAGAGTATGACAGTATTCCCCGCACAACCCTTCATGGGTGGGAGCTGTCATCTCGACCCTTGACTGAACTTGAATACGGCTACGAATAAGGCTATAACTATGACTGCCCTCACCCATCCTGGGAGGTGGAGAATGGTACCATCCGGTAGTTGGCAACGGAAGGTATCAGGACCCACCGACTGGGAAGGGTGTGGAATCCCCCCATCCCCCATCCACACCCATCCTGGGAGGTGGAGAATGGTACCATCCGGTAGTTGGCAACGGAAGGTATCAGGACCCACCGACTGGGAAGGGTGTGGAATCCCCCCATCCCCCATCCACACCCATCCTGGGAGGTGGAGAATGGTACCATCCGGTAGTTGGCAACGGAAGGTATCAGGACCCACCGACTGGGAAGGGTGTGGAATCCCCCCATCACCCATCCACACCCATCCTGGGAGGTGGAGAATGGTACCATCCGGTAGTTGGCAACGGAAGGTATCAGGACCCACCGACTGGGAAGGGTGTGGAATCCCCCCATCCCCCATCCACACCCATCCTGGGAGGTGGAGAATGGTACCATCGGTCAGGCGCAGACGGAAGGTATCAGGACCCACCGACTGGGAAGGGCGTGGAATCCCCCCCCATCCCCCATCCCCCATCCTCGCCCATCCTGGGAGGTGGAGAATGGTACCATCCGTCAGGCGCAGACGGAAGGTACATCCGACACCTGCAAGCAGAAACACTCATCAAGAACAACCAAGACACAGGAGACAATGGTTACGTAGTTCCTCCACCATGGACCTCAAAAAAATAACTCTGGAAGCCACTGATGCAGCATCATACTTCACAGATCCGGAGCGGCCTTCTACACCCAAGGTACTTTTTATCCCTCCGATGGAGACTTTCTAATGACTGCTCCACCCTACAAACAGAGCTGGTAGCAATCTCAAAGGCCCTACAACACGCTGCAACACAACAAGTCCATCATATTTCACACGGACTCGAAATCGGCCATGCAGGCAGCTACACGTTCTAGTAGCGTACACATTCAAGTTCCAGCAAGCGTGCAACAGATCAAGAATCACCTCAGAAAGACTAGCAAGCTCCACATCAAAAAGTGCTTCCTTCACGCATTCAACGCTGGTTCCCAATCAGCCAAATGGTACCTGGCGGCAGATGATCGGAAATGCCAACCCACTTGAACACTATCTCCTCGACTGCGAAGTCACACAAAGCCTCCGAAACAGAACTCAAATCTCCCAAGAAGCCCAAACAGACCACGGTCTGGCTGCTCCTGGAGCTCCAGCCGGAACCACCAAAGGCCCGTGTCGGACTACGGTCCGACAATCTCAACAACAACACTCGGCTACCGGACCAGCAACATCTCTCACAGCTCCTCACCACCCAGCTTCTCCACCTAGTCACTCCTAATCACTGCGCTATACAACAAGATATATACAAAAAGCGCATCGTGAGTTCCTATTCTACCTCATTCCTGAGTGTGAGATATCTACATGTACGTTTGTGTGCCCATACTAGGATAATTGACAAGCGCGGTGGATTTACTTTTATCCTCTTCGCCACTGATCGGCTTGTCTTGAAAGAGCCTCCACACACCCTTTTTCTCCCTTCTCCCACAGATAGTGTGTATTTCAGCGATCGGCTCATCACGCCATCGCCGTTGTCTCACATGAGGCATGCACCGCCCGGTCTGCCTCACATGTGCTAAGCAACTCTACAATCAACAAGTCTCCTACACCGCCTGGAGGGAAGGGGGAGTATTGTAGTGGACGTCTCCTCTACAACTGCGTAGCCACGCCACCACCTGCTATCACATTCCAACGTGCCGTTGCCTAGCAACGAAACTATTCACCGGCGACTTCTCGGGTTTTCCCAACATGACTCATAGCGGCTGCTGCTGGGTATATAAGCTCTGTCTCTCCATTGAGATTCATTCTTACCATTCTTCTTGAACAAGCAACACCTCCTCCTCCGCCGCTGCCTGGCTGCCTTTCGCTTCTCCTCGCCTGCCTGGCGGTCCTCGCTCCTGCCAGCGAGCATGGCGACCCACCAGCTGTCCTCTGAGCTTCCTCACCAACCAACTCTCATTCTGCCCATTTTCCTGAACAAGCAACATCTCCTCCAGCAAGCTCCTAGCTGTCCAGCACATCTACCTCCTTCAACACGCTACTCACCGAACGTCTTCTACTGAGCAGCTCCTCACCAGACGGCATCTCCAGCACCAGACTGTCTATCATATAACATATATTATACAAGAAAACCACATTAGAGTTTCCTTCCATCCTGAGTGCTAGACAACATTAATATCTCGATACCCCTACAGTACATTCGGATCAAACGAGTCAATTGTAAACAAACAGTACACCGACTTTTTTTTTTGGGGGGGGGGGGAGTATTTACGATAATTAATATATTCACGTACAAAGCACGTAGACATCAATTTAGTTTCATATGATCAGTTCTTCGCCTTGTTTTATCCCACAATTTCCCTCATTCTTCATACCCTGCTCACTACAGGTAATTTATGATCGTGCAGAAAAAAATACATATAATTAAAATAAAAAGTTGTTGCCTCTTTTAAAATACTTACTATAATGATAGAACATCTATGGAAAAATTAAATCAAACAACTTCTGGTAGTAGTACTGTTTTCAAAAATTACCATTTTTTTTGTTACATGGTCAGGTTGGGTTTCGCAAAATAAAATGGCATAAAACAATACGATCGTCCAAATGGAATGTAATCGGACAGGCAACCCAAATAAATTAGTAATGGGAACTCCCCGATACAAAACATGCATCACCTGGGTAATTTCCCTACTTATACTGGCTTAGGTCAATCCTGCGGTATTTCCAATTACACTTTGAAAACCTCCACTGCTACAGAGACGTAAAGTCACCAAAATTAACTTACGTATATGTGTGGATGGCATTAGATCTCCGTGTTTATATTTACCGCCACACTACCTAGCCAACGTTGAAGTGTGAACAGCTCATACATAAAATCGCTGGTATAATTTAGGGTATATTTGATTGAATGTTTTGATTACTAAAATCAGCAAGTTACACTAAAGGTCTTTATCAACATTGAGAAGAGTATTAAGACAATCAGTACAAAGTTGCCAGTTAGTGCTTAAAATGGAAAAATGACTCGTTTGTTTACTAACAAGAGTAGCACCGCCAACTGGAGTACGGGAGATAACACTTGATGAAAAACCTGTGCAGTGTTATAAAGGTAAGTCTATACTGTAAAGTCACAGTGTATGGTCTCCGAATTATATAAATAATTATAGGGTTCCGTGGTTGACATTTTTTAGGTATTAGTTTCGGTCATCCAGAGAATCGGTCAATTTATAGTAATACATCGGTCTTTCTCTCGCAGTTTTTAATATGCATTTCGTAATGTTTAGACAATTCTAAGACATTTTTCTAATATGATAATTCCGCCGGAAATTAAGGATAACTGATATCTTAGTTTTCAATATTATTAGATTTCCCAAGTCTCAAGTGTCGCCATGATTTGTTTAAATCTGGCACCGGTCTTTATTTTATATTAGAAATATGTTTTTCCTGTGGTAATTGGTGAGTTTCGAAAGAATTTGATGTTCATTTCCGCCGGAAATCACTAGTTAATTTTTCTAGATACACCCCCAGCCCCCCCCCCCCAACCTCCCAACAATCTTAACGGAAAAGTTGGAATTTTTTGGGGTAATTATATAGGACTAACCCGCGAGCGAAATTGAATAAAAACAATTATAAAAACGCTGGATTTTTATTGTTATATTACAGTGGACACTTGTAGTTTGTGGAAATATTAAAAAAAAATATTTTTAAAATAAACGTTATTTAACATTTGTACGTTTGAAGAACAGACCTAACCAACCAAACCAAACAAACCTACCTACCTAACCTTACCTAACTTCCCCGGTATATTAAACAGAAAGCACTTATTATAATATGGTGAAATTTCTGGACGCGAGATGATATGGCCACATCGGCGCTATGCAGCTGGAGGGTTTGTCCTATAATATATTAACCTTTTTTTTTCTTCAGTAACTCACATACATAAAATACCACCAACCCAACCCAACCCAACTTAACCTACCTAACATCCCCCCTGGACCCCCCTTTGTTAATGCCCCCACATCTTGGACAAAGAATGTTGTTCGGTAATACACTGCATTTTCTACAAAAAGAAATAGCCTCACAATTTTTCTGTTGAAACTCGCAATTGACATAAAATAATCTTCATCACAATGTCGGCACAGCTCTTCAACTTGTTCAGCCATATCTGGTATTCAAAATTAAAAAATGACACATGGTGACCATACAAATTTTTCGGAGGAGTATTTGCGGTAAATAATTAATTTCTTCACATACAAAGCACGCAGCGACCTCATTTTAGTGACATATGATAAGTTTTTCACTGTTTTATTCAGTAATTGACGAGTTGACGGTTCTGGGTAAACATAAGAAATACACTCGGCTATGTTCGTAGTGATACGGTATATATAACTTGGAATAAAAGTTTAAAGTCCTGCTATAATAGTCGAGATAAGTTTATTTCTCTAGAAACAGGGTCACCATTTGCAATGATGTCACCACCTACCCCGCTGATGATGCACGGATGAGATATGAGTCAATTGAGAAGTAATGACATTGTCTTGACTTTGTTTGAGAATTCCTGATGCTAGGTAAACATGAAAACATAGTGCTCTTGTTGTTTTGATGATTCACTAATGAACCACTAGGATATATCAACATTTATATTAATTAATGGGTAAAGTTTTACTGTAACTGCCATAAAGTATTTTGATGTTTAGATTCGAGACAGGCTATGTTGGGTAAATTTTAAGTTTTGGTCATCCCTGTACTTAGACATGAAGACTTATGGTTAAGCTAATCTTATAACTTATAATATAACATCATACCTAACCTAACCTAACCTATGATCTGTATTTTCTTATGCGATAGAAAAATGTTTTGCGACAAATCCGATAGAGATAATTTGTCTTATTGTTTAAAGTGCTTAATCCCATAGTTAGAATCTTAAGGTTCCCCAGATGACCAAAACCAAAATAATACCAATACTGTTTAGGATGTTTTACTATGAAATTTGTAGGAGGGGCAGCTAATATCTATTGAATTAGTTAATGTACTTAGTAATATTTATATATTCAATATAGCATTACTGTGTTCTACAGTAAAGCACAATTAATTATCCAATAATATTCATTTAGAGCTGATCAGCCGAGAAAGTTGGACAACTACTTCCAGGGTTCATCAAGGCAGATGAAAGAAATTTACCAAAAGTTGATGTCTTTATGATTGTAGAGTATTATCAAGAACTCCGCCATCCACTATGAAGCACGTTAAATTACTTCTGTCATCTGATCATCTCAAGCCCATCCCCTGGCCATGGTCATCCCTAGTCCTTCCACAACATTAAATATAGACATCAATGATAAAAACTTACATTTTCCAGACATGAAATACAGAACAGTGATGAAAACTTCCCTGTTGGAGTTATCGGTCTTTTGCATCATTTTGGCACCTAGCAAGTAAACACACACGAGGATACTTGAGCAGTAATTTATTTTAGCCTAAAAATAAGGTATGCCTGTGTATACAGGTTGACAACCCTTTATCCGAAATTCCGAAAACCGAAAAGCTCTAAAAACCGAAAGTTTTTTTTTTTTTTTTACAGGGATTATTAGCCCACCCGGGCACAGGTCACTGACCCACATCGGGGCCTGGGGGGCGAAAATGTAATAGTAATAATAATTATTCATAGTAAATAAAATTTTTAATAATTATACACCAAAATAAAATAATAATGATTACAATAATAATAATAATAATAATAATAATAATAACAATAATAGTAAAAATAAAATATAATAATAATATTAATAATAATAATAATAACAACAATAATACTGTAATAATAAAATAATAATACAGTAAAGAAATACAAGAATGAAAAAAAGATCAAAAGTGAGAAACACGACCTAGACCTATGAATTATTATTATTATTATTATTATAATTTTTATTATATTTTAGACCCCCAGGCCCCAATGTGGGTCAGTGATCTATGCCCGGGTGGGCTAATACACATAAAAAAAAAAACCTAACCATTCTGAAAACCGAAAAATTCCGAAAACCGAAAAATTCCGAAAACCGAAATGCCTCTGGCCCCAAGGATTTCGGATAAAGGATTGTCAACCTGTATTAACATTGTATATGGACACAAGTCCTGTAATTTTGCTGGTAAACAACACATAATAATGGATTTACACCACAGCTGGCTGCCTCTATGCTCCCTCTCTGCAGTTCGAGGGAACCAGTGACGTCACAACCAATCACAGAGCTTTTCACAGTCATGTGACTTTTTAGCAACTTTAACCCTTAATGTTTTACACTTTTTGGCCTAATTTACTTAAAAATATCATTACCATTGTGAATTTAAGCATTTTCTTTACCCATTAACCTGCCGTCTTACAAAAAAATTCTAACTGTCAACTCGTCAATTTCCTTCATCCTTCATGCTTTACCCACTACAGGTAAGAAAAAATACTACTAATTATACTAAAAAGTTGTTGCCTCTTAAAATACATACTATGTAAATGATAACATGGAAAAAATTAATGAAATCGAACAACTTCTCGTGGTAATGCTGTTCTTAGATATTTCCCTATATAGGTATTTAAATTTATTGTTCAACAGTAAATATTGATATTTGATTTAGGTATGTTATTATATGTACTGTACAATGAACTTAAGTTCTCGGGTCATTGTGAGAGGAAGGTGAATCGGGCAATGAAACTAGTAGGTCTTAAAGGATCATTTAGATATCTGTACGGTCCGTCGCTCGTCACGATCTTCAAGAGTGAGGTACTTCCCCGTCTGGAGTATTGTCACCCCGTCTGGTCCTCGAGCTCTAGTATGCTAGAGACTGTCAATTGATTGAAAATGTACGGAGTGCCACCAGACTGGTGCCTGCTCTATGGAACCTCAGTTTCCCAGAGAGATTGGACTGCCTCCAACTACCTAGCTTATACTACAGATGGGAGAGGAGCGACTTAATCGAAGTGTATAAACATCTCGGGGGGGGGGGGGCATTACTCATCGAATGTACATACCTGAAGCTGACCGACGTACGCTCCACAAGGGGTCACAGCTCAAGGTTGAAAAAGCCACAAGTCCAGAAAACTGTGAGGGCAAATTTTTTCGGAGTGAGAATTGTTAACTCGTGGAACAATTTGCCAGAGACCTTTGTGACGGCACCGAGTGTGAGCTCATTCAAGGCCAGACTTGACCAACACTGGAGCAGGTTCCGATGTATTCAGGAGCCAGTCACTGCCCTGTATTTGCCAACAGTGCATATCAGAGACATGAATGACCGCCCAAGTGGCTAACGAGCCGATCAGTGGCAAAGAGGATAAAAGTAAAGTAAAATATGGGTTTTAAGTGATATAGTGATTATAATTATTATATTTGCTATGGGCATTAATATTTGGGTTGGTGAATCTCGTTACATTATATTGTTTTGTTAAATGTGCTGATTATGAAGCAGCTGAAATTTAAATTGACGAATTTGTCAAAATAATATCTGTTGAAAACCTTGGTCCTGAACAAATTTACAATGCTGATGAAACAGCTATGTACTGGCGCTATGTTCCTATAATTGTACTGTACTAGAGTATTTATGGACTATATTTATCCCATGATTTCATTTACCAAATTATTACTGTACAAATAACCTGTAATACTATTTATAGTCTTTATTTATCCCACTCATTGTGAATATTCATAAGGTTTGTTGAAGAAATATTAATGTGTTTGCTTACAGGGTGCCGCCACAGACCCCGCTAGGGTGTTACCATAATATACGGTATATGTAGCAGCTCCTCCCCGACTTACAACCACTCACACTTACGACCTGCTTCAGTTGTACCAAAATTTTGTCAAATTACGTATTTTCAAGTCCCAACGTCAGTACACAGAGAAAATTTTCGTTTGTATTCACTTTAAAACGGCTGGCAGGCTTAAAAGTGAAAGTTTTTTGGTGCTGAGAAGAAAAAGAGACACCCATTTTAGATTTCCTATGTATTATTTAAGCATTTTCGACTTAGGACCTGAATTTGGGTCCCTAACCCCGTCGTAAGTCGGGGAGGAGCTGTTCTACCATTCTGAAAACCGAAGAATTCCGAATTCCGAAACACATATGGACCTGTATTTGACCGTGAAATTTGAAAAAAAAGGGGGTAGTAATAGAGGTACCCACGAATGTATGAATGAATGTGAATTTTTATTTAGGTAATTATCGCAACTCACCTGTACTGTATACACAGTACAGTTACGTGTACATGTATAAATTTGTTTTAATACTCTTACAACTTGAGTAATGGAATAAAAAAAATTGGTATGTATAATATTTATTTAGATTTCTTGCAAGATGTGGATATTTAACAACTATCATCCTATTTTAGGTAAAAAATGATGCTAAGTTGTGGTGTAAGTCGACTCATAGTTCGTCACCTGAGAACAGGTGTTGCCAGCACTGCTCAAGTCCCCCAAGTGTGTATTGTTGGTAGTGGTCCAGCTGGCTTCTATACTGCTCAACAAATACTAAAGGTTGGTTTACTCATGTAAAAATTTTAACCTTTTTGTGATTATTAATTTACCAAATACCCTACTGTAGATTTTGTCTTGCTGTATAATTCTCATATAGCAGTGTTTTAACTTGGTTCTATATGTACTGTATATAAATTACAGTATAGTACAATACTTTACTACTATTTCTCCTTAGAAAGTTGCAGTACTCATGTTCATTGTTCGTAATGAAGTGTTGAACAGGTATTGCATTTTACGACAATATTTCCTAATTACATGATAACCACATACTGTACAATAGTTTGTTTTATTTCACCTTTAAGCCTTTCTTGGCTATAATATGGTGACCAGAATCTAAAGTGCACACACACACATTCTCATTATTTATTCATTATTACAGCTATGGTAGATGTGTTCTGATATGGAGTATTCCTCTCGCAACCACACGTCACAAACTCGATCATAACTCATCAACTTAAAAGAAAAATGTTTCTTGTTGAATAACCAAGATCTCTCTATGTTTAACATGCAAATATTGGCAAGTGTGCACAATTAGATTATAACTATTTTTTTAGTTCACTATGTCTTTTATATTTTCAGAGCCATGCAGCAGCACAAGTTGATATGTATGAGAAACTGCCAGTTCCTTTTGGCTTGGTTCGCTATGGAGTTGCACCAGATCACCCAGAAGTGAAGAACTGCATTAATACCTTCACCCAGACTGCTGCTAAAGACAGATTTACATTTTTGGGCAATGTTGACATTGGAAGTGATATTACTTTCAGCCAGTTGAGAGAAGCTTATCATGCTGTTGTTCTGGTAGGTATGAAATGTGCAGAATTATCTTTTAGGTACTGTACTGTAATATGAGAAATTACTGAATACAGTTCAGAACCTGTATTTTCTTTTATGATCAACATTTTATTTGACAGCTTCTGTGATTAAGAGACTTGCTTAGGTTGGTAACCATGCATGTACTGTAAGATACTCACCTGTTCTTCAGGATTTCAGTTTTAAATATTTATGAATAAAGTCTTTACTTTAAATTTTATGAATAGGAATACAAGGGTGTACAGGTATCCATTGTTTAACGATCGTTTACTTTGTGATATTTTGGTTTTGCGATTTAAAATTTTTAACACCCAATGATGTTTAATGATCTGCAATTTATGGTTTAATCCACAATTATCAGGTCACTAGGTACTGACCCTACTAATCTTCAAAAACACCGCAGCAGTCGGTAGTCAGGTCAGATTAAATATACTAGGGTAAGCTCCCTAAATAACTGTGATCTCAAAGCAATGCTTCCATGCCAAAGTCCCTGCACACCCTGAATATTCTGTGTGAACAAGCTTATCCCAAGACTTCAGGTAAGTAGAGAACAAAATCTCACAAGGTGCCTGGGATTCCTGAATCAAGGTTTCATTTATATAATATATGTAATTTCTCGCAATTTATTTTACCATTTCTTTGCTTTTCAGGCATATGGCGCTGCACAAGACCGAGCATTAAACATCCCAGGAGAGTCTTTGCCCAATGTATTATCTGCCCGAGAATTTGTGGGTTGGTATAATGGTCTACCTGAAAATGCAGATTTGAAGGTTGACTTGAATGTAGAATCGGTTGGAATTATTGGTCAAGGGAATGTTGCTGTGGATGTAGCAAGAATTTTACTCACACCTGTAGATATATTAAAGGTTAGTCTGATGTTAAAATACAATATAATTTTTAATCAAAGCTTTCATACTTCTTTTTAAGTCTTATACTATACAGTATTCATGTTAAACCACATAATTTTATCATAATAACTGAAAAATTTAGTGACCGGTAATATGTTTTACACACTCGCTTATTTTCAGTTTAACATGCAGTCGTTATTTCCAGACCATTGTACAGTGGGGTATGCTATAACGAGTCTAATTGGTTCTAGAACCTCGTTCGTTATAGCATTAGTTCGTTATAGGATTAATCCGTTCCAGGCCCCCAAATACAACCACTTAACACTGAAAAATTTCTGTGGAAATTGTAAAAAGTACGGTACTTTATCTTACCTTAGTGTTGTTAGTATGCAGGACAGGAGGCAGAGGAGGAGGGGGGAGGAGAGAATTATGGAGAAGAGGTGGAAGGAGAGGAGTCATCCTTCCTAGCCCTCTTTGATGACTGTCTTACAGGCACTTTGTCTGTTTATTTATAATTTCTTTCTTAGTTTCAAGGGTTATCGGCTTTCTTACTCGCTTTTGACGATTCATTGTTACAATTGTACGCTTGTATAACAAAATAGTTATAAAAATAACACGAATTTCCACATCAAAAGACGAAATTTCAACAAGTTCAGTGGTGCACTGAGTACACAATGAACCAATATGGCGCCTGACGCTCTTTATGTGAGCCGCGGTACAACAATATTCATGCGCCAGACGAAATAGTCCTGTATTCATCCGCGTTCGTTGTAGGAGTTGCGTTCGTTATAGCATTCTCAATTTTATAGGTAAAACCGTTCGTTATAGGAATATTCGTAGTAGAATCCGTTCGTTATAGCATACCCCACTGTATTAATTTTTTGGATGCCACTGTAGAATCAACGGAGTTTCATGAAAAGATTCCATTCTATTCCCAAATTAATACAGTCCACCTGACTCTTGCTTTATGGTTGAGTTCTGTGACAACACAGCATAATGGAATCCTCATATAGTGAATACTGTACTTAATCTTAAGGGGAAAATAAGGATATGTTCCACAACTGCTAAAAGTCAACAGTAATGCTATAAGAGTTGTGGAAAATCATTACAATACTCTAATGTGGGTTAGAAATTAAATATAATGTAGTATAAAACTATAAACTAAGACATGTGAAGAGCATGGATGTTTGTGTGGAAAGTGTGTGTGTGGAGTTGCTGACTCACCACTCCAGCCGCCTCCTGTGACATCACATACAGCGCAATAGACACACACACACACACACACACACACACACACACTGTGCCATATTTCACAACCATTTCTGGAGCATTAATGCTATAAAAGTTGTAGAAAAATCATTAAAATACTCTAATGTGGCTTAGAAATAAAGATACAGTAGAAAGTCGATATAACATGATATACGTTCCAAGAGAGGTCGCTTTAAACTGAATTCGCACTAAATCGAAGTGTTGTTTCAATGGAATAAATTAGTTTGGTACTTGAGAGAAACACAAAATACTAAAAATACTGAGAGTCTACCCAGTTGCACCTCAGCCCATATCCTAGAATAAACAAAATATTGTTTTTTTGTAGTATTATGTTAAAACAAACTCATAAATCAACACGGCTAAAATAATGGGACGCAAAATGGTCTGTTTACTAGTGATCAGCTGATGTGAGAAGGTGGTTGCCTGGTGCTACTCGCCCCCTATTTACGATGGGGTTAGGTTCCTGAAAAATGCATCACAGGCCAAAATATTGTAAATCGGGAGCATTATAACATGGTGTTCAATGGGATACAATCCTAGCCAGTCGTACACCCATGTGTATCGCTGAAAGAAAGAAAGGAAAAAAATCCTTCTCTATTAATCTACCTAAAACAATTAAACACTAACCTCATCATTAAGCACACGCCTGGTTGTCATTACATGTCCCCTGCGAGGTTAAGGGGTCACTTGAAGGTAGAGCCGAGATGTCACTCTGACTCCCACAGCCTCTGGAGAGTCTTGTGCCGCTTCACCTCCAGAGACAGTTTTTCTGGCTGCCTTGGCCTTCCCAGACATTTTCAAAGTTACTGCTCACTTCACATTCACAAAAAACAGCAGAAACACGGGACAGTCCAACTTGGCGACCTACCAAGTCCATATACACGTTCACTTATGCACACATACACACCCACGCTTTTCTTTATTCTTATTTTATAGCAACATTCCGTCTCTACAGATATACTGTACTGTACTGTAAAAATTATATTACTATTTAATTTCTATTAAGCTGTTTTATATGTACTGTACAGTGTTTGACTAAAATTTAATTTAATGTACAATACAGGTATTGTTTAGTGAAGGAACAGGGAACTTAGTTAGGTTTTGACTAGTGTTGTCCGCAGCCATAGAACCTAACCTAACCTAACCTAACGGTTGGCAAGGGACTACTGTATGTCTCATCAATCTGAAACCCCCAAAACTGGTAACAAGAGTTTTGATATCACATGACAAGGGCTATTGCCACTGGCACCATTTACATGGACACAAGTGATCTATGAGTTGATGCACACAATAAGTTTGAATATTTGAAGTTGTTAATTTAACTTTTCCCATCAAAAATCCAGGCAAGCAAATTTCATCCAAAAATTTGTCAGGACTAGTAAATATTCCACATAATTTGCACAGCATGCTGAAGGGTTTTCTTTTAGTTTTGCTGTAGTATACAGTATTTGTTAATTTATTCGCCTGTTACTTGAGGATAGAATTCTGAATGGCGTCATTATCATATATATTTTTAGGTACAACATTTTTGAAATAATTATTTAAATCTACTTTGTAAAAAAAAAAATAGAACTAAATTTCTGACTTAACAACTGTACAGTATTTATTTGCATTGGAAATTCTGTTGATTAAAGTTATAGTACAGTACAGGTACTGTATGTGCAAAACAATATACAGGTGTACTGTATCATAATTTATGATAAGGTTACATTCCTCCAAACTCTATACCCTGTACTGGTATACTCACTAAAAGATATTCTGCACCTTTATGGGGTTATACAATATGACACACCGGACCAAAAAATCTGGTCATGGCTTCTGTCGCAGTGATTGTTGCAGATAGTTTCAGAGCCAAGAATACAGACTGTTTTTTTAGTGAGTTTACATGGTAAACCAAATTATATAAACCCTACACTGATTATCATTATGGATAAATAAGATATATTCCAGGAAAAAGATCTCCAAAATATAGTAAAATGACACTGAAACACAATTGTATGTATGGGTTAAAAATGCAGTATGAATAGACAAAAATTTAATAAATCATCATGGTGTTGAGCAGTATATTATGCTCGTTTTGATCTTTTACCGACATACAGTACTCGGCTCCTGGACTAGACAGAACACAGACCAAGATGATAGATCCGGTGGTGAACTAGTTTAACGCTTCATTAAAACTCCTATTCAGAAAGTCGCTGGATCAATAAAAATGCTTAGGGACTGGAAATTAGTCATCACCCCAGTTTGCAAGAAGGGTAGATAAAGTCCAACAGGAAATTATAGACTGATCAGCTAACATAAACATAAGTTTCCTAATACTGTACTGTACGTACAAGCTCTTTGAGAAAATTTTGAGGATGCCATCATCAAACACCTCGCCGAGCACAGTCTAATCAACACATCACTACGTGGATTCATGGAGAAAAAATCTTGCCTGGCAAACCTACTCATTTTCCTTAAAATGGTAACACTGTGAACCAAGGTCTAACAGTGGTTGTGTTTTATTGGGATTTTTCTTAGGCATTTGATTAAATTACATCTCAATTATCCAGGTAGACTGAGGGCCCTGGGACTGACAACTCCTCAGACAAAACACAATGGAACGAATCTTAGACATTTAAAAAAAACCAATTTGTGACGTCATGCGCCAAGAGAACACGGCTTCAAACTCGCAAAGATGTCATCCAGGACAAATAAAAGGATTTACTTATTCAAACAGAGGGTGGTAGACCTATGGGAACAGTCTACCAGGTCTAGCTCTAGAAACGAGATCATTACTGGGCTACAAAATAACCATGTTAAAGACTTTCCAAGAACAATGGAGGGATCCTACACAGGCCACTGGCCCTCTTCCCTTGTCAAAGCCACCTCTAGTTTGGATGGCCATTGAGTAAATTAGGTAGGTAGGTAGGTAAACTTGTTCCATGTTCTCCATCAAATCTAATCTATGATAGTTGCACCTATATTTGTCACACACTTCTTACTTGCCTTGATTTTATCTTTCCGAGATAGACCTAAAACTTTATCGATGGTCACCGTCTTTTCACCAGCCTCAATATGCTTTATCACTTCCAACTTAACAAATTTTTGCAGCTTTGTTGGGTTTATCACAGAATATTACTGCTCCTCATTTTATGTGCTGGTTGTTTTCCTGATATCTCTATAGAGGGTAAATCACTTTGAAAATGTAAGAAATTGCTGAAGAAAATGTAAGAAATTGCTGAATAGTTTTGTTGAAGAATGGCTTGTAAAGAATTTTGTTATGACATGCTGTAGCCAATTAAACTTTTTGAATATTTATAACATTTACTTAATTTAGAATTAATGGATAATTAAAATACTTATTTCCAGCCAAAAAAAAAAAATTAGTAGTACTGTATAATGTAAAAAGTATCATAAAATGAAAAAGAAAATCATAACTACAAATAAAGGTGTTAATTAATTACTGTCATAAAACTGAAATTTCAAATAATTTTCATAGATCAAGGTACACTCGCAACAAAAAGTATCGGTGCATACTGTAGTGTGAACAATTTGAGACCAGTGACGATAGGTATTGGGAAAGGCGAGTTGTTCCAGCCGTGTGTTGGCAGCCCTGTAATCCTGCTGAGCAGCCACTATGGCCTGGTCGAGTGAAACAACCCGTTATAAATAAGGTCGGGAAGTGATAAATAGACATTATGAAATATGAGGAGCTCCCTGTTAACAAAATTATTTGTGATACTTGTGAATATTGCCACTTTAATTTTTGCTACAAATAAACCACTCAACCTGGTCGTCCTGAGAGGTGGTGCAGTGTGGACGGCCGCTTCGAGACCTGTCGTCTGTAGCACCAGTTTCGAGGTATCGCCGAATCCATCGTGCGGCGGTGTTCCTGTGGACACCAACCCGCCGGCTAATATCTGTGACGCTGAACCCTTCGTTATGAAGGGCAATAATAGCTCCTCGTGTTCTCTCTGAGGTTTTCATGTCGTCTGGCATGTGTAGATCTCTACTGCTTCATATTGCCTCTGTTTTATACCCACGTTCACTGAGACCGAACTCTCGCTCATTATTCAGTCAACACAAAGCAACAATCCAAAAAGAGGAAACAAACACACTGATTGTCAGCCATATGGCAACACCTAGTGGGGGGGGGGGGTTATGAGGGTACACTTACCAACCTTCCCGACATATCGCAGTGTACAGTTAACCCTCACTTTACGCGGTCCCGCATTCCGCGTTTCCAAGTTTACGCGGTGCCCTGCCGGAACCCAGGATGCTCACATTCCGCGGTGCGTGTACCCCTTTACGCGGAGAGCGGCTGGCGAGCCGCGCCATTTTTGGATCCAAACCTTCCGCCATCCGCCATGTTGTGTAAGCTGCGCGAACATGGTGCGCACAAGGTCGCCCAGTCATCAAAACATTAC